ATATATATCGGTTTTAAGGAGGTGGGGAGCTGTGCTCCGACTCCCAAATATGATGTCTACCGGGATGAGTGTTCTAGAGAGCCGGAAGTTCTTCTCCAGTTTCGCAACCTCCTAACAAGATTTAATCTAGTGCGTGTATCAGTGACCAAAACACGAGTTCTGCACGTGAGACCTGACCTGCACTGGGGCTATTCCTGCAGCTGTCCCTTGTGGGCTCTTGAGACCACTTTTCCTGGATATCATTTTCTGCCTTGGACATCTGGCTGGCAGAGACCTAGTGTGTGGGTCTTTGTAAGCGGTTGGTGTCAGGCACTTTGTTGTTGTACGCTGTGATCCAGGGCACCTCAGTCATTACAGCTCCAGGATCTGTGTATCTCCTGAACACTGAATACGAAAGCATATGAGAGTGGCTTTCTCTATCGGTTCAGTGTGCATGGTGGTGTATTATAGCCCCTGGAGGTAAAATACCCAGAGAAATGCCCACCCTGTTCTCCTGCCGTACTGAGAAGGTGCGTAAGTCGGTAGTACCCTAGCCTGGCCACATATGTCCCTTCTCAGCTGATCTGGATGCTGTATTGCTGAGGCCTCTTCCTATCATATTTCCATTAGACTTCTCCTATTGAGGGCCCTGGTTTGCTTTAGGGTTCCCTGTTCTGTCTTAAGGTCTGCTGCTAAGCATGGGGAGGTCAGGAGCCAGGATACTGGAGCAGCATACACCCCCAACCGCACAGCCACTAGCTGGCAGACCTGGCCAGCCACACAGCAACCCTGCCTGGTCTCATTGGGGTTAGCCCTGTGTGCTTAGGACATGAGTTGCTGCTAACTTGCCTAGAGCTTCTGGCCATGCCACTCCGCTGAACTGTCTCCTGGAAGCTTTTGCATAATAGACACAGTGAGATGACAGTGGCTTTGTGTATGGTGTGCAGAATTTTGGTACAGTGAGATTGATAAAGTTATAAGTAGATCCTGCATGACGGTCCAATCTCCTTCCCAGACAAGGATATAACATCAATAGAAGCAGATTTGTTACTGCTGGGCAAAATCTGTTGGTGTCTGTACTCAGCTCAATAGAACTGAGGGCAGGCAGGTTGCCTAGAAATAGAGCCCCAACGTACCAAGAAAGACCATGAAAGGGTTCTGGTGGTGCTCTGTTTGAAGGAAATGTGTACTGCCAAAGCCTCTCCATATATAGACTCAGAAGAAAAAAAAAACACAAAAATCACAAGACCTGGCATAGATGCTGCCTTTTTCTGTTTCCTTTACGACAGTAGAGCTTGCAGTAGTGAGGTACCAACTCGAGAGGGTCATGGTGTGGCCAAAATGTCCCTGACAGGCTCCTCAGTTAGAACAGCTGGTCCCCAGGTGGGGGCACTATTGGGGAAGATTGCAAAAGCTTTAGGACATAAGGATTCGCTGACGTATACAGGGTCATAGAGGTTGGGAACAAGATCTAAATGTTGCTTGGTTTTGGGCTGAAGTTCTCACTATTCCTAGTCAGTGAAAGTATGAGGAAGTTGTTTCCCAAGCTCCTATGGTCTAACACCAATTGAGCCCCTGATGCTTCCCATTGTGATGCCCCTCAAATCATAAGACAAACAGAATAAACCCTTGTTTCCATAGGTATTTAGTCAAAACTACAAGAAAATGAATATAGGGTGTGATTGAAGAACTGAAATCCAACCTCCCCAGTGTATGGGACAAAAAGACCATGCGTACTGCCTGCCTGTGCAGCAGACACTTGAGGAAACAGAATGTGAATCACCTAACTTTCATCGTTCCAGTGATACCCATTCTTTTTTTCCCTGCCCCAACACATAAATATTTTGGGGCCCTTCTCCCAAGTATGGCTTTCAAGGCCATGTTTCAGAATTCACAAAAGAGACTCTATCAGCATGGTACTCACAGAACTCACAAAATAGAAGTTGTATTCTGCTCTCTGGAATTGTTTTAACCCTTTCAAGTCACAAGCGAAACATTTAATTCATACTGATTACATTAGAACATCTAGACAGACAGACAGACAGACAGACAGACAAAAAGGAAAAGAGAGGGACTGGGAAAGGCAGATACTAGATGGATGGGAATAGTGACCCATTACACTCCGTAAGTCTGTAAGTAAATGCATTGATCCAGATGTGGATGGTCTTTGTCAGCAGGCAGGCAGAGACTGTATCCCTGATAATTAGTTGGTTTTTGTATATTTTTCTGAGAGTCTCTAATGAAAGGAAGCCCTGTAGGAAGGCTGACTGTTATAGGCTATTTTCTGCCTACAGTATTTTATAATTAAACGTAATTGGTGATTTTTGGAGGAAAGGTTTATAAACATGTTTCCATACAATTTAGCGAAATGCAGCTTTATTGTATGCGGGGATGTCTGCACTCCAGAAACAAGGTCTAGCAGCTGCCACACATTCAACACTTGGGCCTGAGACCAGGAGGAACGTTTTCCGTGTTTTGCACAGAACACAGGTTCACCCATAGTGAACAGGAATCGAAAGCAGCCAACTAGACTCCTCTGGGCTGGACCCCAAATTCATAAAGGTGATTTTGAGGGACCCTATGCCCTAATGTTGCTGCTTTTCACAGTGAGCTGTATGACCCAGCTTTGCCTATTATGGGCTGTTCTCAGATACACAGGGGAAAGCATGCTGTAGAAACCGGGACCTTGTTGGCAGGTCACCAATGACATCCTCAGAGCACCGCCATGGGTCTGTTCTTTCTTATATAGGACACACTTGAGAAAGCAGAGTTGTGGCTCTCCTAACTTTCATGACTCTGGGGACAGCCACTACTGTCCCCTGCCCTACCACATAATCATTTAAGGGCCTGTTTCATTTACTGCAGTTGCTCCCACCTCCAGTGGAGCTGTTCCCTTTAGGCACATCAGTGTGGGGAGATGGTAACTCAAGAAGAGTCATGGTTCTATTTAAAGCAGGCATCTTTTTTAAAACTTACAGAATATTGAGAAAGAAAGTTTAGATTTTGTATCTAAGTCCATTAAATAGACATCAGAGAGAAAGTGTTTTCTCCCTTCCCACTCCTGGCCTTCATTGTGCTTTCCCTGGTCATTGTATCTCTCCAGAGGTATCCCATGCAAAGAAGGATTTGCTATGAGGAAGCCTCATTTTGCTTTATCTGCTTAACAATATGGTTGCAAGGCGAGTGCACATTTACTCAGCAACACCTGTCTCTTTAAGCTGCTGCAAATCACAGATGCATAAGCTGCTTTCCCTGGTCCCTGGTTGGTGGACAAAGGTGAGTTTAAATGGTAGAGCTGGGATTTGAACTCAGGTACCATGGGTCAAGCCCAAATTGAAGATGTCCCATCCCTTGCTCTGCTGAAAAGGAAAGATGATAGGACTTCCCAAGAGCAGCACTAGGCACAGTCCCTTTGTCACTAATACATAGTAACAGTGTATGCAAATGAAGTCAAACTCATGGTAACAATGTATACAAACAGAGCTCCCAAACTACAGTTCAGAGTTAAGGATGCTGACCTTTTGCTAATGCGTAGCTATACCAACTATCCACTGTTCCCTGAAGCCCTGCTGTAGCCCACTAGCCAGAAGAGCAATGGGGTAGCCATTAGGCACCTGAGAGGCAGAAGCATCAGATGTTTTGGGTCAACTCTCATTTTATTTTGAATAGAAACAAAAGTATTTTCTGGAAACAGAAAGGAGCAACAAGAAGAAGCACAAGGAACTCTTCCTCCTTCCCCAGTGGGACAGAAGCCCATTAAACACCTCCCTCCTGATGGAGACAGTTCACCAAGCAATGATGGGCAGTCTAGCATCTTTTCTGAGTCCCAAGAGAGACAGCACCCGTACTTCCTGACACCCAGAGTCCCTTTGTCTGTGTTTCTTTGCCCTATACAAGTCACATGTGCCTCTCCGCAGGAAGATGATACTGCTCAGATAGAGAAAGAGTTCCCCAAAGGTAAGGAGTGAGAGTGGCCATCCCCGGGCTCTTTCTTGATGCACATAAAAAAAAAAAAAAGCTCAGTGCCTTTCTGGGATGGTTCACACAGCTGGCATTATAGTAGTGTTGGGGGGCACAGGGAGAAAGAGCAGAACTACCAAGTAGACATAGTGCGTAGGCTTAGGCTCAGAAGACTGCCAGGAACACGGCAGACTCTGTGACTGAGCTTTGGAAGGTCTGGGGATCTGGGGCAGCTGCCCTGAATGTAGCATGCCCCCCAGCTGCCCAGGCCCCTGGCATGGATAATAACTAAGGGGTACAGTCCCTGACACATAACTACCACTTTACATGACCTCCTTGGGCCCCACAGTGTCCACAGGCAAGCAGCCCGTCTCCATTTCCCACAGAGGAAATAACCAAGTGGGACCCAGGAATCCTATCCCTGTAGATAAAGCTACTGACCACTCCTAGGTGCTGTAGTGAACAGTTCTGTGTGAAAAGACGGATGGACGTGACAGAGAATGAACTCTGGTCCCTAGTACCATCAGGAGAGAATCTGGACTTCTGATTGTTCTGGTTTTTTTTTTTCTTAAAGAACTTGGAACAAGGCAGAAGGACACATATGATATCATATGGTTTGGGGTGATAAAAGTTAAAGTGATTATGGTTATTGGTCAAAGTAATGTTACTGGGAGTTGGCTCTTATGTTTTGAGCCATCAATCAGTTGCAGAAGCAATTATTAAACACCTGTTGTGAGCTGGGTGCTGAGGTCAATACTCTCCGCCGTGGAGAAGGCACAGTGTATGTTGAATACTATGGAACCTGAGAATGCCCACACTCAGAGATGGTCAGGGCAGAGGTGTCTCTGTCCAGAATGATTCTAAGCCGGAACTTGAGATGTCAATGTCATTGGAGTCTTAAGATGAGACTGCAGGAAAAGACACACAGAGGGGCGGAGGGAAAAGTGCACATAACCAGAGCTCCAGGGAGGCCTGGGCTGCTTTGGAGAATTGTAAGAGGCCCAGGAGACCAACACCAGAACCAGGCAGGGACTTCCGATTCTTCCAGGACCCTGTGGTTTAAGCTGGAAGAGGCAGCCTCTATACCCACTGCAAGATTCTGGACTGCAGGCAAGGCCAAGACTTTGAAAGAGAAGAATCTCAGTGGGATTTATATTCCAGCGGACTGTCCCATGAGCTGTATGTGGACAGATAAGAGAGGGGCCAGGCTGGGGCTGAGAACCAAGCAGGAAAGAGAAAGGAGGTTTCTAAGGTGGGAGAAGCCACAGGAGTGGAGACATACTATATCTGGGAACAGATGCCATGAGCTTTGAGGAGACAGCATGCCCGGACCAGCCCCAGTGTTACCATTTTTTACATGAGGATGAAGGAGGAAAAAGATGCAAAGACCCTGGTTTCTCTGTGAGCTGGGGAAGAGGTGTTCACAGGGAGACACAAGAACCGTGCACTAGAGAAAGGGTCTCATTTTGGAAGAGAGGGTGCTGGCTAGTCACTAGACTTGAGATCATCTGGGCTACTGATTCGGCCTAAGGAGAAAGTGGGACAGTGAGGAAATCCTCTAGACGGAACAAGAGAAAGTACTTGAAGGCTGGGAGGACGGTCTGAACTAAGTAGTGTGATATTGGCAGAGAGTCACGTGACATGGGTGGTAAAAGCCAAGGGAGCCTGGGTCATCTGGGGGGGGGGGGGCAGAAGGATGTAGGGAAGCTGAATAGAGAAGGATCCAGCCAGAAAGAATACAGCTATAAATAATGGTAGGAAGGGCGTGGATGAAATGTCTCTGGTGTCCAGGAAAGCCTCCTCCTTGCCGCCGCCCTTTCCAGGCCCTATCCCTGGTGCTGTGAATACATGTAAATTAAGTAGTTGGTGGTACAGTGTGGTTAAAGCCTGATCCTAAACCCACCTTATGATTAGGCTGCAGAATGTAGGCAGCAGGAATGCATCCTGTCTTAGGAAGGGAAAGAGGGGCCCTGACAGTCAGGACTCAGCCTGGAGATGAGGATTCATGAGGCAGCAGAACCAAAGGCACTTAGTGGAGATCAGAGGCCATTTGGGGCAAGAAGATGCTGGGTTAGGACAAAGAAGGAGTTAGGTGAGGCTGGGGCTGAGAAGGTGCGGTGGAGAGTTCAGGAGTTCAGAGGGGGAGGGCGGGCTACGGTGATAGAAGGGACCTATCCTTGCATTTGCCATCAAGGCTGAGGCAGGAAGTAACCTGGGACAGCTATTCATTCTATTCTACTCACCCCAGAAATGGCCTCACCTGGGCTGCTAAGGGGTCAACTCATATTCCGACTCTTTCCGCAAGAGGAAACTAAAAGGGCCCCAGGAAAGGGGCCCCACCAGCTTTGAGAGAGAAACCCTTGATTACTTATGGGAAGCCAGTGGTCGACTCTAGAAAATTAAGGGGAGGGCTGCATAATTGAACAGCATCCCTGGTCATTATATCATTAGTGTGGCAAACACAAGACAGATTAATATGCTGTCTTGAAACAAGTGAACTGTAATAATTACACGCTTAACATGAAATCCAGACTAGAATAGTCTCCTCTCATCCTGAGCAAAGGCATTCTGAACACTGCAATCTAAGAAACACCTCCCTGGCCTAACTAGCCAGTCGTGGACTTGGGCTGACTGCCAGGGTGACAAGGGCAGCCGTGAAGGTCTGTGATGAGACAGGATCCCATGAGCTTAACAAGGTCCATTAATAACTCACTGGCATCTCTCTTTTCTAAACTGCCTTGTGTGTCTTCTTCTTGTGTCTGGGAGCTGGGCGGGAGAGCCGCTGGGTGCCCTCTAAATGGGCTGTAAATCTGCCTTCCTAGATTACACCTGCTGCGACTTGGTTGTAAAACTAAAAGAATGCAAGAAGCACGAGGACCTCCTTGCCGCTCCTGAGCCCTCACCAGCAATACCTTCTCCAACAGCCGCAGAGGAACCACAGAGCTCTGACCCGTTGGAAGGGAGTTCTGAGCCTCGGCACCTGCTGTCAAGCTCCATGACCTTGCAGGTAAAAGGCCATCAGCTCCTCCCCATTCTGCTGGACTCTCTCCCAGGGGAGACTTCTCCTGGGGAGTGTGGCATGCACCTTGACCTCACTTCTGCCTGTGACTGCAAGTCTCCCTGTCTGTGTCACTGGCCTCTCCCTAACCCTTTCCCACCTCTCTTCTGCTGATTGCCTCCTGGAGACAAGGACACAGGTGGCTCTGCCAGGTAAGAATGAGGACTATGGGTACTAGCAACCATGACCATAGCAATGAAAGAGTGCCCAGAGGTCACGTGGATCACTTCACATTGGATTTTCAAAAAAAAAAAAAAAAAATCCCTATCAGATGAGAGTCCCTATACACCCCGTAGTCAGATGAGGGTGCACAGTCTTTAAGAGATTCCCAAATCATGCAACCGTGAGTTGGAAGACATGGAAGAGTTTTCTTTTAGTTCCTCCTCTGATTATAGAAGTAACATACATATATCGATTAAAGGTTTAACATTTAAGAGGGCGGATGACCTCAGAGAAATGTGCCACCACTAGCATTCTGCATAGCCAGATGTACTTTTGGGGGAGGCCCTGGCCGTGGGGTGCACCTCTCCCTGGATGAGAAGAAAGCTCCATTGGCTCACCGCTGCAGCCCTGAACCTTGATGAGCCTGCGATAAACATCCAGGGTAGTCCCCAAATCCTGAACCACTAAGATGTCTGCAGAGGCACGGACAATGAAGCAGCAACCACCCTTGGGCCAGCAGCCCATTCTCAGGGCCTTTATCTCCAGCCTTGACCCTTCTCCAAAGCTTCTGCACATTCAGTGACTGTGCATCAGACACTCGGTAGCTGATGGCTCACATTGCCACAGAGACTCCTTGATCAGTGCAGCTGCCAGGGGCCCGTGCATGATGTGAATGGAGCTCAGAGTGTGTTCCTCTCTGAGCCCCCAGTGGCAGGAAGGGGACCAGGACCAAGGAGCACTTCTAGCCTGGCCAGTGTACCCAGCAAACCTGTGCTGAGCCCCTGCTGTAGGCAGACCCAGGACAGCGCCTGTGAGACATAACGAAGTTATTGAGATGTGGCATGTGTCTTCTTCTACAGCTTAGCATAGAGACAGCCATGTGGGACTCACTCTTGCACAAGGCAGTCTTTGAGAGTACCACGATGCTCTGGTTGGCCTTGAAGACCCAGTAGGACCTACTGGGAGTGGCTGCCATTGGCATGCTTTCTTACTAGAGCAATTTGAGCAGAGACATTCAAGGGCTCGGGAGTTGGTACAACGAACGGCAGCAGGGAGTAAGTGTGAGGTGTATACTGCTGAGCACCAGCACAGTGTTCCACTAAGCTACCCTGAGCCCCGTTGCTTATATCTGTCCAATAGGAACAAAAACGACTGACTTCCAGAATCCATGTGGGGATTCACAAAGAGAACGGGTACAAGTGACTTCCCCAGCATCTGCCATGGCAGCTCTGCAATGGTGCTTTGTGCAGGGAGCACAGGAGAGACTGCTGTGGAGATGGAGGGGATTCTGATCTCTCCTGGGATGCTCACAGAATCCCTCTGTCTCGCAAAGATGCCTACCCTTTTCTACCCAGGAGAAGCAGTTCCCGTAAGCCACAGATAGGACTTCTGAAAAGCCATTTTCCATGCCAGGAGGACCATGCATGTGCTCCTTAAGACTCCCCCTCTCCCAGCAGAAATGAGTATGCAACTGTCTAGCACCTGCATTCCAATCCCACCCATCTCTCTTAGAATGCCGAATTGCAGAACCCTCAGATTTGGGTTCCTCGGCAGTGAGTGGTTTGGCAGCGTGAATTCACAAGTGGGCAGATGTTGGTCGTTGGTAGTCAGTGACTTCGATGCTAGTTATTGCTTGGTCCTGCTGCAGTGGGGTCTGTGCTGCAGGCTGGAACTGACCTCCAGCAGCTTGTCATCAATGTTCCTGTACCATCTTTACACATGGGCATGGGGGGTGGGGATGATGACATGGATTTACACTGTGGCTTTTGCCCGCTGAGGGTTGTGTTCTTGATTGGCTCCGGCTGAGTAAGTGGGATGGATGTGTTGTTTCCTGGTCTCCCTTCTCTCAAAAAAATTAAATCTGAAATCTGTTCTTGGTCCCAATTAGGAAGCGCTGGAAGTCCGTAGACCTCAGTTCATTTCTCGCTCACAAGAACGGCTGCAGAAACTTAAGCACATGGTACAGCAAAGGAAAGCGCAACAAAAGGAAAACCTGGGGCAGAAGCAGAGCCTACTTCCTGTCCGTGCCCACAAGAAGCAGTTCACCGTTCCCCATCCTCTTAGTGGTAAGCTACAGGTGGCTCAGGAGGCCTGAGTAGAGGGGGGACAGGTATTCTCGGGCCTGGAGCCTGCACCGAAGGTTCAAACGATGATCTCGATCATCTCGAATGATACCACTGGCATGCGCAGACCTCAGCATCCTGAAGCCTTCTCTGGGAGCCAGCTCATTGTGAGAGGTTACATATGGGCATGCAACTCAGCAGAAATCACTTGGGACGCAGATTTGCCATTCCAGCTGGGAAAGGAGCTGCATCACTGTAGGAGCCAGGATAGCAAGTTCAAATTCTTGACTCCTAACGGATGTTTGCGAGTGATCTCCTCTGCCCTTTATAGATTGCAAAACAGACCTTGGGGCGAGAAGTTGACTCCAGCTTGTCTGCATCAACATTTGTCATCTTGAGACCTCTTCCTGCTATGAGCTCAGAGGAAGGATGGCCAGCTTGCCCAGCACTGCCAAGGCCAGGGTCGAGTCGACCCTGAGAGGCAGGACACTCTCCTCAGAGCAGGAGTTAGCAGGGACCTTTACTGGGACCAGAACTATGTGTGTGTGGGGGGGGGGGTGGGGGGCTGGGAACATGACCATGAGCAAGGCTGACCTCAGTCTTCTTCATGGACCTCATAAACAGGCCCTTGAACTAGCAAGAATAACAAGAGATGAAGGCAAAGACTGGAACATCAGAGCACTTACGAAGGGGCTGCCAACCCAAATCTTAAAATCTGGAGGCTTGGAGAAGCCTTTGGTTTATGGCTGTGAAAGCAGGAATGAGGTCTCTAGGAAAATGTCTTGGACCCCGGGAGGTGAAATCATGAGTGTGGTTCTGAGTAAAAGTCCTCTGGGGGAAATAACCATCTTCAATAAAGTGCAGCTTAGCAAGTTTACCAAGCTCTCAGGAGGAGGGAGATGCAGGAGACAGAGAAGAGGGCCTCTGTAATAGGTTCCTGTTAGACTCGTCTGTGGGTAGACTGGCTTCTTCCTGCCCTCCAGAGCACTTCAGGAGAACTGTCTAGAGACCCCTTGAATGCATTGTTGTTAGGCAAGGGATCTGGCAGGTTACCTGCTGCTTCCGTCCTGTGACACATTCCAGGATGATGAGAAACGAAGACAGCCAGAGAGATGTGCAAAGGGCTAGCCCACTGCACACTGGGTGTCTATCTAGTGTTCTAAGCTAGGTGCGGGCACAGGCTTAATCTAGATGTGTTCTCTAGGGGACCATTAAGTCTCTAGCTCAACAAAGAGCAGCTGTTTCAGGCACAGCTGTCTCAAGGCGCTGTGAAGACCAAATGGCAGCCACAGTGGGAGTAACTCCTTGGCACGTTCACACACACAAAGCACGAAAGATTTTACTTGGTCAAAGTGTTAGGCTACCAACACGGATGCCAACTGTGATAATCACAGCAAACACACACACACACACACACACACACACACACATACAGGATGGCACTGGAGAATCTCCATGTTCAGCCTACAGTGTGTGCAGGAAGCAGCAGAGGCCTGTGGCTGTCGGGAGCTTATTCAGTATGGCGATGTATTCGTTCACTTTATATCACTATAACAAATAATCCGAGGCAAATCAGCTTACAAGGAGAAAAGGATTGATTCAGACTCAGTTTTTGAAGTTTCAGTATCATCAGTAAGCACCATTGCCTTTCGGCGTACAGCAAGGCAGGAGCGCATCACGGTGAGATGTACAAAGTGGAGCAAAGATGCTCATCTCCCAGCAGCAAGGAAGAAAAGGAGAGAAGAGACCAAGATCCACAGTGTCTTTCAAGGGCACATCTTTAATGACCTGGAAATGCCCACTTTACCCCATCTCTTAAAGTCTGTGCTACCTTCCTGCAGCTCCAAGCTTGGGGCTGGGCCTTTCACACACAGGAAGATATACTACAGATCCAAACCATAGCAGGGTGGGTGTGGCTTTGGGCTCCTCCCCTTCCTGTATGGGAGGGGTCATGGCTTTTATATACCTATGTTACTTTCTTGCCATGCTGTAAGAAATTGCTACATATATTCCTAAAACCGTGAACATACATTCTTTCAGAGTTCTGGAGACCAGGGGTCAAAATAAAGGCACCTGCAGGGCCAGTCCTGTCTGGAGGCTCAGAGCAAAAGCATGCCACATCCTCTCTCCCAGCTTTGGTGGCTTCTGGCCATCCCTGGTGCTCCTTGGCTCATGCATGGTCCCCTGCAGCCTGCTTTCTTCCTATGTCTGTGTGCCTTTGAATCCAATTTCCTCTTCTCATACTGAGCTGAAGTCCACCCATCCAGTGTGACCACATATTAACTTGATTATATCTGCAAGGACCAGATTTCCAGTGACAAGGTCAAAAGAAGGTCAGAGTCACAGTTTTCGGAATTTGGACTTGAATGTATCTTTTTGTGTATATGTGTGTGAGGAGGGTACAACTCTGATTGCGACATTAGTCAGTTTTGATGTTTTCCCCAAACAAATCTAAGTTCATGTGCCTCTAAATGAACATTTTAAAACTGTATATAATAAAAGGGGCCCAGTCTGGATGCCTAGTATTAAATAACCAGTCACCTTTTTATTCCCCAAATTCCAAGACAGTTCTGGCCACTGGAATGCTCTTGGGGGGACTTGACCAGCACGGATTTTACAGCCATTCCAACTGTCCCTGTGGTACGGACGTGTTGAGGAGAGCTTTATTTCTGTGTTTGTTTGTGTTAGGTCAGATCAGACAAGTCCTGAAACCAGAGCCTTGTGTAAGCTCAGGCTAGCGAGAGGGAAGGTTTAAGGACCCATTAAACAAGTCTACAGTATGCATCTTGTCTTCAGCCTGTCTGCTGGCAAGATGATAAAAGCAAAATGCAGATGTTTCCTTACATGCTAAATTAGTTCATAAATCATGTGTGCGAATGAGCCCTGGCTGCAGCGTTGAGACGTCTGATGGAAGGAAGGCTCAGGTTTGCTTTTCCATGCCGGGGTAGCTGCCTCTGATCAGAAGCAGTCTTGGCTCAGGGACAGACCCAAGAGCTTCAGGTGGTGGGAGCTCTGGCACCTGACAAGGCTGGGAGAGGCAAGACCCTGGGTGTGCAGGAGCAATGACAGAAGGGACCAGGGCCCAGCTGTTTCATGTTGCCTGACAAGTTCTAAGCAGTCTCAGAGGCTTGCGAACAGATTGCGGCGTGTGTGTGTGTGTGTGTGTGTGTGTGTGTGTGTGTGTGTGTGCGCGCGCGCACACACACACACATATGGGGGTATAAGTGCTAATTAGGGCTAAGGGTCTCTGTTTGAAGGGCAGGGGAAGTTTTATGAGCAGTTTGGGGTGACAGAGGGCTCATGAAGTAGCTTTATAAACTCCTGGCTCTGGTCTCCAGCTCCTGGTGGGGAGCTTCCCATTGCATGGAGGTGAATGGACACCAAGCAGGTGGGTTCTGGTGCAGGCCAGGTGGGAGGAAAGCAGGAGAATGAGAAGTGATGGGAGATGCTCACTGTAGCTATGGAGACGGGATTAAGGGAGATGGGAGGGCCAGGAATCAGCTCAAGGAAAAGTGACCGCAGGGAGGCTAAATGGTACAGCCACTAAATTCGGTCTTGGGCAGGGGTCAGAAGATGGAGTAGCTTGCTGTGTGGAGGGGCTGAGGGCCAGAAGCAGTAAAGGCAGGGGCTAGGGAAGGTCCTGGGGCGTAAGGGGGCAGGAAAGGTTCTTAGGTGGAAATGTAAGTAACAGGTGGCAATTGTTTATCTATGTAAGAAAAACCGAGATGGTAAATACTCTAGCCTGTGGGCTTCTGTCTTCCTCCCAGGTCAGTGCTCTATCAACTCCCTGGGGTCACCTAGAACTATAAGCAAGGCTTCCCCATCAGCTCTTTGCAGGGTCGTGAGAGGATTGAGTCATGGGTAGAATCTTAGGTAGACAGCCTTGTACACAAGCTAGCCATGACCTCTGAGGGTTGAGTGTTTTTGGAATTAGCTTTTGCTTCTTCCTTTCAAACAGAACCCCAAGCAGGGTAGCCTGACTGTATATGGAAAACATCAAGTATAGCCACGCGTGCACCTGCGATTAGCAGGGATTGTACCTGGGACAGGTGGGTGGTGGTCCTCGCCGTTCCCTATTGACACATTCAGGACTTCATCCTGTTCAAAGCTCCCCACGCTTGACCTTGACTGTCTTCCACTGGAGTCTCAGATTCTCCCTGGGTCACACCCCCATCCTGTTCAGATCCCTCCACCACATCTCTGCCACCTTCTCCCTAGTTAGTCTCATTGCCTATCCTTCCTGCACTCCTGGAAGATGACAAAACCCTTGCTGGAAGCAAGTCTGCCCCTTCTCTCGGTAGCACGGCACTCCGCCTGAGCTCATATCCAGCTTCTTTAAACTCTCACCCCTAAAATCTCCCCCTTGACCCCTAAGCTGGTGTATGAACGCTTTTGCTTCCCCACTGAACTCTTTTGCAAAGATGAGCTACTACTGCTACCTCAATGCTACAGATTCAGCCTGGCAAGGCCCCATACAGCCAGCCTGCATGGCCTGGCTACTACTTCAGCCCCCTTTTCAACTTCTTATCATGACCTTCTTCCATGGCTCTTCCTAATTTGGTTATGTATCTGACCTTTAGGCGTGCAGAAAATCCACCAGAAGCCTCTGCTTCTGCTTCCCTAAGCCCCTTTTTCCTTTATGCCCCCATTGCTGTTCAGTTCTTAAAACACTTCTAAATCTCCTCCCTCCATGCCTTCTCCTTTTGGATTATCCTCTGTGGGTGTCCTGGAGGAATGTCCCCAACCAGAAAGAAACATGGGTGGCCCCATGGCACACCAAGACTCCCTGCTGGATCTCATGAATCAGACGGACTTAATCTGAATTTCATTATCCACACTTTCCAAGGTGAGCCAAGCCTTTCAAATCACGGGCCAGCAGAAGGATGGAATTCTCTAGAAGGCACTTGTAAATTTCCTTTCCCAGAAGATTGTTGACAGTGCTTGGCTGCTTTGCATTCTCGGAGCATCCAGGGGGAGATGTGACTCAGTAGATAAGCCATAGA